ACTTGCCTGTATCCATCAAGGTAGCAATGAGACTCTCAAAGACATTCTTCTGCACGTGCATGGCATTAATGGCAAGGGGGACCTCAAAGTCTGGCCAATAAGGCAGATACTAAAAGAAGATTGATTGTTTCTTGAAAGGTACGCCTTCGACAGAAGGTGTGCTTCTACCTCTATTCGTTCCATCCAGATTCTTCTTTCCATAGATGACACGTATGTTTTTCACCATTCTGTACACGTGTTCTCCGTTATGACGTCTCTCTGGAGGGGGTTCAATCTCTGGGGTGTTGTCATAAAATCTAAAGAATAATTTGTTGCGGTACTTGTGACTTGTCTTTAAGAAGCGCCGGTTCCTTAGGTAAACTATCTTCTTGGATGCATCCAGGAACACCCATGTAGTACCATCCAAGCAAACTAAGCATCCCATCTTCCCTTTGATCTGTCAGGAAAGCAAACAGTGCGGGGTAATCATTGGTAGTAACAAATATTATTGCTCTACATATAAAGTCCTCCTTTCAGAACACATCGTACATCGGCTCCCCATGCCTCCATAACCTCTCCATTTCTTGCATCAAAGGCTCGAGGAACACGTCTATATTAATGCCTGGTTGTTTAGGGTCAAAAATAAGAATAGTGAGGAGAAGATACTTTCTCTTCTGATACAACCACGTTGGGATGTTGTACATGGTCAAGATCACTGGCCAAGTGCTGTGGTCGCTCATCCTCTCATTGAAGGGATTCATTCCATTAGTGCTCAAGCCAAACCGTACATTCCTTGGGTCATCGCTTAATTCTTTGTGCTTCTCATCGATCCTTTGCCACTGACTACAATCAGCCGGGTGTGCAATCTTATCATCATCCACCTTGCGCTCATCATCCCACCATGTCATGAGTGCGGCTTCTTTAGGATTTAGGAATATATGTCTCAAGCGGTCGGTCACTGGTAGGTACCACATTACCAAGGTAGAAATTCTTCTCTGCTTTGTATCGTTGCCTAATGGAGTGTCCTCTAGAGGCTGAGATTCTTATACCACCTTTTTCGTACCCTTCTTATTCCTCTTTTTCCCCATGTAGGCTTCGTCCCCACCGTAAAGGTCATTGTTCTTATACCGGCTGGCCCCATACTGGGGACATTTATCCAGTGACTTGAACGTTTCGCCACGAAAAAGGATACAGTGGTTGGGGCATGCATGGGTTTTTTCAACCCCCATTGTCAATGGACTTATGACCTTCTTCGCTTGGTATGTATTGGTGGGAACTGAGTTTGGTTGTGGTAGCACCCATGACAGGAGACACAATAGATCATTGAAACTACAGTCTGACCAGCCGTACTTAGCCTTCAGGATGACTAGCTCAAGCACAAAACGTAGCAATGTCTAGTGTGTCGAACAACCCTTTTCAACACCATATACAATCTCCTTCAATGTTTTTCACCCTTTTAAAATTTTCTAAACCTTTCGGGCTCTTTAGTAAAATCTCTGGTCCAAGGGCTCGAATCATGTCCTCCAAATCATCTTCATCTCTGACACGTGCTCCGCCATCATTATTTGCACCACCTTTGTCGTTACCATCCCAACCACCAGCATCACCACCTTGTTCATTGCCAAACTTGGGATCCATTCGTGCATCAAGCTCTGTTGAATATTGGGACAGGGATTCTAGGGTTTCGTCGTCGTATTCCTCCTCATCCTCGTCATTAACAATAACCGTTTCACCATGATGATTCATATTGTGTAGTCCTCAACAAATCCTCGCATAATCAAATATGATCTGATGATAATCACATCTATCCACGCCATACGGTTCTTGCAATCTTTATAAGGACAAATAATTGTATCCTTATTCTCTATCAACGTCGTTGCATGCTTCTCTATGGCTTCAATAAATTTATCTACCTCTTCACGGAAACCTGCCTTGAACCTTAACGAACCATACATCCAAGAGTTTCTGTACTCCATCTTTTACAATAACAACAAAACAAACATTAAAGGACTACTTATTCAGATATATATAAAAATGAATCAAATTAATAATTACTTGAGAATAATTGTATATATTTCATATATATATATATATGAATATAAATCAAATATAATTACATGAAGCATACAAACACACCATGGTAGAGGAAAATTAATTAATGGCCTATTTATTCATAAATAATTAATATACATATTTGTTGATTATAATAAACAATTTCAAAGACAACAATTAGCAACAATTATATTTTACCCAATATCTTTCATGCAAACCCTAGTCCAATTTCATCAAACATAAATTTACAAAAACAAAATTAATAAAAAAAAACAAACCCTAGATCTAGATCTAGATCTACATGCACATGAAACATCCATAAAACTAACTAATTGTACACTAAAATCAAGAAACATGAACCAAATAAGGGTATGATTTTGTTCCCCTACCTAATTTACCCTAGCACATTCAAAACTTGGGTCTCATTTGCTTCATAATTAGCTCAAGCACCATAGAAGAGAGAGAAAAGTAAAACTCTAATTACTCACTAACCAACCATTAAAACTTCAAACAAAAGTGTGGAATAGCATTTTCTTACCTTCTACAACCTCTCCACCAAAGAATTTGAGACCAAAATCTTCCCCCCTTAGTAGAGCAATTTTTGGCAGGTGCCCAAGGCCTCCCAAGCCTTTTTTTTCTCGGGTAAGAGTGGGTGACCTGAGGAGGAAGAAGGGGGCTGCAGCCATTTATACAACAGACATTTATAGGGGCAGCTGGTGATTGAGCCGCCCCTATAAATCGAACAATAGGGGCGGCTGGTGAGTGAGCCGCCCTTACTGTTGTACAAATTTGTAGGGGCGGCTCGTATCAACAATCGCCCCTACTGTTAGATTTGTAGGGGTGGCTGGAATCGTGGGACCCGAGCTCAACCGCGTCTTAGAGATTGTTGAGGTGCGCTCGGACGTCCTAATCGTGTTGGCGAGGGTGGTCGACGCGGTTGCCCCTACCTCCCCCTGGAGAGGTTGTCCATCATCACGGTGCTGGTCGGCGAAACGACTTCGGCTAGGGCGACGATTAGATCTTGGCGCGGCAAATCGACAAATTTAGCTCGTCGAGTAGGAAGGTCTTTGATCCTGGCGGATCTCGTTGACCTAGCAGTGCTCCGCTTTAAGCATGGCGACGACATTGGCGACCTCCGGTGTCTGCGGGAGCCGGGCGAGCTCGTTGGCAGCCATGGCCAAGTTGGCGCTTAGGGTCTTGTAGATGTCGTGGCCGTCAACACGGACTAATTCGTTGTCGAGGTTGCGTTGGAGTTGGCGTGGCCTTCCTTGCGAGTCGAGTTGATCGTTGCGAGCATCCTCGACTAGCACAAGGGCAGCTTCGTTTGCTTGGCGCTGGGCACGTTTGACATTCTTGTTGACGTGGGCGGCGCAGTCCTCCTTGGTTTCCCGTCCCGTGGGGGGCTGTCGACATTGACAATGAAGATTATGCCTCCTCGGAAGGGCAGGAAAGGAGATTGTAAGGCGGTGGTTTCAGCGACAGTCTCTATAGAGCCCTGGGACTCGGAGTCTGGATTTTTCTCCAGGATGGTTTGGAGGGATGCTTCGGGGCGTCGGCCGACGTGTAGCATGTTGACAGCCGACGAGAGCTGGTCGACGATCTGATCGGCGAGAGGATGGATATCTCCCACCTGGTCGGTGAAGTTGCTCCTTAGGGTATCTTGATAGGTGGCGGCGATGCTGGTGAGCCCAAAGGGTAGGACCGTAACCCCTGGAGTTTCCTGATCCACCTCTGATAGATCTAAATCGGAGGGTGGTCGGCGCTGGACCAGAGTGGTCAGAACCGATTCTATGGAGAGACAATCGGCGAGCTTCTGGCCAACCTGATCGATGGATGCGATCAGATTATCGTTGTTGATTTTCCTTCTTAGGTAGTGGGGGAGCGGGCGGCGAATTATCGACGAAAGCGACCTCGGAGGCGGTTCCGACATCGAATCTGCAGTCGCAGGTGTTGGAGTGATCGGCACAGTATTTGATCTGCACCGGCTCGATGAGCTCTTCGACTCCGTCAGCATTGATGATCTAGGAGATCGATCCGACCATAAAGATCTGGCCAGGCTGTGGGAGGGACGAAGAGCCTGTAAAACGTACCATCTTGTTCGACATGGAAACAACACGCACACCCCTACCTAGCGCGCCAACTATCGACAGAATATCGTCGGCAGTCTTCCGAGGGGTATCCCACGAAGGTAGATTGATCGACAGAGATGCGTGTAATCGAGAACAAGAAGGCAACAGAGACACAAGAGTTAGACAAGTTCGGGCCGTCAGCACGACGTAATACCTTACTCCTGTGGTCTGTTGGATTGTATTGACTATCGTATGATATTACGTGTGTTTGAAGGGGGTCCCTGCCCGCCTTATATAGTCCGGGGACAGGATTACAAGTCAGTTAGATCTAGGAGATAACCGAAAAGTAATAACAGATTACACGAATCATGGGATTATACGTATCTAACAGATCTCGTAGTATGTTTAGGATATCGTCCCAGTGTCTTGCGGGACGCGCCAAGCAGCATCGTGCCCCGTTCGGCTTCGTCTTATGGGCCGGGCCGCCCCTGGGGGCGCAGCCCATGTAATTTGCCGTGGGTATCGGGAGGTCGTACCTCCACAACGATTGGCGATGGAGCTGCCCTTAAAAAAAGCCTCCATTCAAAAAAAACGTTTATGTAGTAATGGCGGCGTACCCGTGGCTGCCGCAGCGGCAGCGGCAGCGGCGGCGGCGGCGGCGGCATCTGCTCGTATTGGATTCGTCTTCGACGTCCTGTTTGGTGCTGCATGTCTCTGTAATTTGTGCTCTCGTGCATTCTCCCACACACAGAAATCTCTTTGGCGTATTGGATTCTTCTCGACGCTGTTGGCCAGCCCAGCATGGAAACCACCGCCCAACGCCCTGCTTCGCTTCCTGCCGCCGGTGGCCCGTGGCAGCGTGGAGGTCTCAAAGGGCCCGCCAGGCATGTAGGCAGCAGCCTACTCCTCCTCGTCGGTGGCCCCGAACACGAGGGTGCCGGTCCTTGTCCCTCGGAGGTACGGCTCGGCGGTGTGGTAGTGGCCGCCGCCGTTGCAATAGTCGCGCAACATGTTCATGGTGTGCTGGTGGTGGCCGGGGGGCGCAGCGGCTCGTACTGCAGGGGGATCGGCGTTGCCGAGGAAGTAGTCGATGGTGGACTGCGGCGTGACGGAATTGACCGCCGCTGCGGCGTCCAGGGAGTGGAGCAGGTGGAAGCTCAGCTCTGCTGGGATGCTTGCGACGCCGGAGACGGCGAGGTGCGGCTGGCCGGCGTCCAGGTCCGGGGTTTTGTGCGTCATCAGGAGCTCGCACTGCAGGTGATACATCGTCCTGCTGCTTGCACACTCAACTGAAACACACAACAGTTATGTTAGTTTAGAGTTTGAGGTTTAGTGATTTAGTTGTTCCTTCAAGGTTCAGATTTCAGTTTATGTTAGTTTACAGTTTGAGGTTGAGTGCTTCAGTTTTCCCTTTCAAGGTTCATTGTTTGTATTTCAATGTTCTCTGTGATTGTGATTTTCTGTTTGTGTTCTGTGATTCGGCTAGATATGTGCTGTCTTTTTTTTTTTGCTGTATATTATTTTCTTGGAAGATAACAACCATAAAAATCTGCCATAAGATATGTAGTCAGTCCCAATAGTTAGCTGCTAATATTTAGCTTCCTGATTGAAACAAGTCTAGCTAATAGTTAGCTAGTCTATAATAGATCAAACTAGCTAATAACAAATAATATTAGCTATGAACTATTAATCAACTAACTATTAGTAGCTAATGGATACAAAATAAGGACCTTGAGGTGGATTTATCCTCGGTCAATTAATTAATTAAAATAAATAAATATTTCATGTATTCGATACTAATTTGGATATTAGTCAGATAATATCTGGTAGTACTTTGGGCATTTTATATTTTGAAAATTTTAAACAAAATAATTATCCGTGAGCTTTCGAGTATGTGTCGCTCGATCGGGAAATAACTGCCGTCCTAGGGCCCGACAAGAGCCAGTGGGAGGCCGCACAGTGGACGGCATGATGGGCCGTGCACAATCGTGGGCCTGGAATACCACGGAGCTGCTGCTTCTCATCTCAGGGAAGCAAGAGAAGCGGCGAAAGGAGAGACGGCGACGACGCCACCGGCGGGGAGGAAAGAGGAGAGGACGATCCGCTAGCGTGTGCCCGGCGACGAGATGTGGCGGAGGCGAGTGGGCGCCCTCCTTCTCCGATCCCAACTTGCTTCCTCCTCCACGGCCGCCTCTTCCTGCCAGCGTCTCCGACACCACCTTCTCCCCAGCGAGGTAGGCTTCCTCATCCCGCCCCTCGCGCATTCCGTCGAGCGCCTCGTGCGCACCTCATCCTCCCTTTTCCCACGACCCTTATGATCTTCGGATCTGTGCTGCCAGGAACCTCTGGCTCTCAATCGTCTTGCCAGGCTCTTCACGTCCCAAGCTGTAAGTTTGTTTGCTCCCAAGTCCCAAACACAGAAAAACTTGCATTGCCACCTGCAGCAGCAGCAGCAGCAGAATCACCTGCTCCTCGCGTGAGTAACGGATTCACTGGTGGAATCTCTTGTGTCTCCAGGGAAGTGATGGTGGCGATACCCAGAAGCCCTTTATTGCTTTTGTCTTAGGTATAAAACCTTTCCTTTTTCTTTTTCTATATACAAGATGGAGCATATACTCCGACCACTACTTTGCCTTCACTTCTGCCCCAGTCATAATACATTTACTGAGCAGAATTCTTACATAATGTCAACCATGCTATTTCAAGTTTGATAACGGGTGATTCAGTGCCTTATAATCACATGATTCATCAATCAATTCGTGCCTGTAGGGGGTCCTGGGAGTGGCAAAGGAACACAGTGCACCAAGATTGCTTCGGATTTTGGATTTGCCCATTTGAGCGCTGGCGATCTTCTCCGGCACGAAATAGCATCTGGCAGTGAGAATGGGTATTATATTACCATCTTGTTATATGATCTCCTGTTAATCCTTTGGTTGTGCCCTCCCTGTGCGAAGGGTTTCAGTGCATTGCTTCATCGTTGCACTTCAGGGAGTTGATCCTAGACATCATAAAGGAAGGGAGGATTGTCCCGTCTGAGATAACTGTGGAACTCATAAGAAAAGCGATGGAAACGAAAAATGCTAAAAGGGTTCTTATTGACGGCTTCCCAAGGTGCGAGGAAAACAGAATCGCCTTTGAAAAAATTGTAAGTTCTCAATTTGTTTTCCACCACTGCATTGCATTGATAATTGAGGATTCCCTACTAACTTACCTTCGCCCTGTTCGCTTGGCTTATAAGGCGTACTTTTTCAGCCAACGAACATTATTGTTCTCTCACAACAAATCAGCCAACAATACTTTCAGCCATGGCTTATCAGCCAAGTGAATAGGGCGCTTGTTGGTTAACAAACAGTCAAACACAAGCTATGTTTTAAAGGCGTCGCCTAGGCGTCTAGGCGAGGAAAGTTTCTGGGCGTCGGGATCGCCTAACTATGTGGTCGTATGGCGTCCGCCTTCCCGTCCTAGGCGTCCGCCTTTCGCGTTAGGCGTTCAGGGCGTCGCCAAGGAGGCCGCGGCGGTCGCCTTGCGTGCTGGGAAGCCAGCGCGGGAAAGAAGTATCTCCCGCCCGGAACATCCCGCTTCCGCGCGGGAAGGAAATCGCGCGCGGGAAGGATTCGCGCGCTGGGAGCATAAGGAAATCGGGCGCGGATTTTTGGGAAAGAAAAGGGATAAGAAGGGGAGGAGAGACCGAGAGAAGAAATCCACCGCACCTGCCAGGTTCCGCTACCCTACGCGCTCACGCATCCCACCGACGCGCCGCGCGCGGCTCGTCGATTTCCACTCAGGAAGGGGGGATTGGACTGACTCGTCGGTCCTGTGCTCTTCATGGTGTCCAGCTTCCGCTTTGCTTGCCTGTATGTCTCTTCTCTCCCTCTTCCTGTCCTCTCTCCTCTCTTGAAGGTCGAATCTTGCCTGCCTTGTTCTCTGCTCCTCTGATTTCAACCCTGCTCGCTGCTGCTCTGTTTTTACCCCTGCTCCTTTGGTCCATAGATGCAGAGTGGAGTGGACTGCTGATTCCTTTCCACGTGTTGTTCTTTATTAGTTCTTTAATTCTTGTGTTCACAGTTGATAGCACAATGGCAAGTTCAGATCCAAGGTGGAAGTATGCCTACTGGCCAAACCTTTGTAATAGAGATGTGGTGACATGCACCCTATGTGGTCACTCATTTTATGGAGGGATAAAAATGTTGAAGCAATAAAAAGAGATTTGAAAGCTTGGGATATACCTAGAGATCTATGTTTGAATAGGAGTACTTGGAAAGCAGCTATTGAAGTGCCTGAACCGTGACTTGGGGCTCTTGGTGGGTTTCAACTCTAGCCTACCCCAACTTGCTTGGGACTGAAAGGCTATGTTGTTGTTGTTGTTGATAAAAAGGTTGAAGCAACATCTGGCTGGTGGCTTTGGAGATACAAAAAAATGCACAATGACTACTACTGCAATTAGAAAGGAGATGAGAGATGACTTGGAAACTAGAAGGAGAAGTCCACAACATCCCTAGATTGATTAGAGATTTCAGTTCTGTGCTAGCAGCAGTGCATCACTATTAATTATGTTACATTATGTCACTAGAGACTAGTTTATGGCCATTAAGAGATGAGAGATCTCAGAGTTGCTACCTTACTACTTGATGTTGTGTACTAGTAGTCTAGTAGCACCACTTATTATTGTATTATTACATGCTAAGAATTGGCAATATTAATGTCTGATTTGCTTCTGAATTTTTAGTTAACTTATATATTAATATGTTTATATGGCGTCGCCTAGGCGGTCGCCTTATTCGCCTAGGCGTCCGGAAGGGGGTCGCTCGCCTCGCCTCGCCTTACCACGTTTAAAACATTGAACACAAGCCCCACGTGGTTCTTCGCTTCTGACTGAATTTTGTTTGACAATAGTGCACTGTGCACATGGATGAACCTTTCTTACTGTATTTGATAATTTATTAAGCACACGTGGTTTTGTGTTTTGACATCAGTATTATTTAAGTAGACATGTTTTTTACTGTTTTGTATCAGTATGCATGCCAGCCTAGATTTCTATTACTACTAGCTACTAGTAAGTCATATGCAGTAAGTGGATGATTACAATCGAATGAATCACATTGAGGATGATCCACTCTGTTAGAGGATTAACATCAATTTGTCCTGTTGAAGTCAGTTATTAAGAAGACTAGAAGGTCAACTGAACTATGCTTACTGTTTTCCTCCATACGTAGTAGTAATCTAAATGAATACTCCATGATGCCTTCAGGTTGGAACAGAACCAGACATTGTGATCTTCTTTGACTGTCCTGAGGATGAGATGGTCAAACGCCTTCTAGGCCGTAACCAGGTTAGTAACCAGATTTAGTGCCAGACTGATGTTTACTCAAAGAAAGCAGGACTTTCCTACAGTATAGTGTAAGCAGTGAATCACATTCCCTTGTTTGGACTTTGGAATAGACTTCTATTCATGTAATGTAAGAAAAGAAAAACCAACTTCTTTATTCAGTAATCTAAGGCGCATAAACTAAATTACATATTGATGATTGCTAAAGTACAGGTAGGATTGTGCATTGGGGGCTCTCAAAAGTACAACGGGAAGATTACAAATACAATAATAGCTATCAGAATCTACTGAAGTTTACTCTTAAGTTATCTTGATCCCTTTCTCTTTTTTTCCTGTTATTTTATCATTTTCTCATGTGCGTTTTAGGGGAGAGTTGATGATAACATGGAGACAATCAAGAAGCGTCTAAAAGTGTTTGAAAGTTTGAATATTCCTGTCGTTGAGTACTACTCTTCAAGGGGAAAAGTGCACAAGGTAAGTAAGCAGTTCTGTTTTGCTCACAACTATCTGAGCAGGACAAACTTTGTATCTTTTCGTTACATTGTGTTGCTTACTTTTGCTGCAAAGTTGAATGATAAAGCTTCTTGTCTTACTAGTTACTACAAAACATCCACTTGTATCCCTGAACTTGTCTAGTCTCAATCTGTGCATTCAAGTTCAAGAAGAAATTGATTAAACAGATATGATGCAGTTTCCTTGTTTAGCTTATTATTGCTGTATAACCCCTACATCCTATTCTTTTGTGGGAGATAATTAAAGTCTACTGATTGGTTTGATATTAGATGGGCAACTATATCATGATCATCCAGGAACATGGCTTACATGCATTAAGTGGTTAATTGCTAAAAATGGGATATATTTAGTAGAATGTTTTCCGCTGTATGTCAACTCAAGGATCTAGGATTTCTAATATTTAAAATTGTTCAATTGCTTGCAGATAAATGCCACGGGCACCGCAGATGAAATATTTGAAGCAGTCCGCAGGCTGTTTTCGTCCTTAAGGTAAATCTTAGTGCTTGGCATGTCAAATTACTGAGATTAATGATAGATTTTAGAAATTGTTATTCTGTATTTCTTCCCCCGGAGTTATATCTGCTAGAGTTAGTGAACCGTTAGTGGCTCTCCTGGAGGAGCTTCGTTTTTGTTTGATATGACTGGTTGCAGATTATTCTCTAGTAGCAGCAAACTGTCGTTGTATATTGAAAATTGTCATGTATGATAGCAAATTTGGAAGTGATAGCAACTTGTTTCGAAGTACCAATTTCTCACTTGTAAGCTTGTTGTAGTTAAGTGAGCCATCTGCCAAGCAAGTCATGTACTGCTAGCGAAAGCTTGACTATTATGGTTCTGTGGCTTTTGTGTTCATGGTTGGATCACATTTCACATGAAAGAAAGTCCTAAATCAAAAGCAAAATAATGAAATACCGTTTTTCTTCTGGTAGCAGCATAAGATAAGGATGGAGTGGGCTGTATTTTGTCCTTTTGTTGACTTATTGAACTTATGCTTGTAGCCATTTAGTTGACCAGATGGTATGGTATGCAGGCCCTGACTTTATTAATGCTATGACTATGAATGAAAGGTGGCTCTAATATTTCACTGTCTAGTGTAGCTTGTGCATGAATTGTTAACATGCAGGCCAAATAGAATTTTAATTAGTGTCAGTTTTGACCTTCCGCATATGTTAGACCTTGTGCATTAACAACAAATATCTGAACTCACTGCATAGGTTATGATGAGGCTAGCGTCTTCGAGGGAACCTGGGGATTTGTCTCTTCCACGCTCTTGCATTTTCAGAAGAAAAAAACTACACTTCACATTTCGATCAGGATTTATGTGCCCCTCAGCACATTAACATCTTGGCATGGTAACTGTACATATATTCTCAATAATGAATCATGAATGTGAACCATGGGATATTTCTGAAAAAGCTGAACCCAAAGTTATAGTGGTCCACAAAATTCTGCTGGTGGCCTGTGACAAATTCCCCTGGTTATTGTGTCGCTGTGGTTCCTCTGAAACAGGAGGAAGTTGAAGCGGCGGCATGAATTCAGGAAACTGAATGCCTGGCTAGTTACTGAGATGGAGCAGAGATTTTCTGTGCAACTGTGTTTGACATGAAACCAGTCATTGATCGATTCTGAGTCTACTGGGTGCCGTGGCTGGCCGGTCTACTTTGATTACTTCAGAGAAATCAGAAAGCTTTGCAGGCAGTCTGCTAAATTTTAAGGGGTGGTTAGGTTCCCGGGCGGCAGGGAGTGGGAGTGTTATTTTTATACAATATATACACGGGATGGAGTTTGAAAGCATTTTGTAATTTTGTATCCAAATTTTGTCTTGCTGCAGCCGGCGTGCATATGATATGTGTCCGTCAGCTGAACTGAACTGGGACTGAATGAATTCGAAAGTGATTGACGCTTGTGGTGGAAGGCCGGCGCTGCCACGCAAACGCTGAAAGGAACGCAACGGATGTTCAGTATCGCTTCAATCATGCTGCTAGGCATCTCGTGAGAGTGGGCAACTCCATCCATGTCTGCTCTTGTGTCTTTTGCACTGCCATTTGGCCCGTCTCGATCTGACCGGGTTAACCTCGTCCCTGAAAATAGTGGATTAAATCGAGAAACTGGCAGCTTTCATGTCTTCAGGGGGGGGGGGATCAAACCTCTCAACCTCGCTTTCAAATTTTCGAGAGCCTTTGTTTGAGATTCGTAGGGATGATTTTAGCTGGAGCCTGAATACTGAAGATAGCAAGACAGACGACGATGCATCACATCACAAGCAAACAAAGCGAAGATGGAGGCCCTAGCTATCATCGGCATTCGTCCATTCGGCATGATGAATGTGCCGGAGACCACGAATGCATGGACACCTCCAAAACTGCATGTCATTTCTGCTGCTGGCTTCTTGTTCGCAGATCAGAGTATGTTTTTGCTGTGCTCCACTGCGTACGTGAAATCCAGAGCAAAATCGGGCTACATGTCCTGTTGGTGAATGACAAATGGACTCGATGACCTCGAGCTACATGAAGAGTCACCGTCTACCGAGCAATATATAGCAATGGGTATATATAAACATAAGAGATTAGCTTAACAAACTTTATAGCACTGCCAATCTATTAGCAAACAAGGCCCGTTCGCTGGTCTAAAACTTGGCTGAAACTAACTGGAAAAACACTGTTCCGACTAAATTGTTGTGAGAGAAAAACACTGTTTCGGCTGAAAAAAGAAGTCAAACAAGCCGAATATGGGGTAAGCCAAACATGACCTTTATTGTTTTTTATGTCCGTAACAATCGGCTGACGCCAATGTTTACATACTATATGCAAATTTTATATAGTACCTATTTAATTTTTATATATACACCCTTTTCCTTTTACAATGAGCTTCAGTTAGTTTTTTTCTTGTGTCAATTATTTGTCAAAATCTCAGTTATACTACATATTACGGACGGTAATAGCCCCAATTAAGCACCATAGATATACACGTGAGCTGAGACAGCATCAATTTCGGACTAGAGCTATTGGGCACATCATAAATGTTGTCAATGCAACCTCAGCTTGCATTGCTTGCATAAAAGATTACTCTAGATAGCTATCTCTCACTAATGAGTAATGACAAAACGTCTCCTAAATATTACAAGTAGCTGGCTCTTGTCTTGTATTCCAGAGAATTAGCGAATGTGATTTACTAGGACGGACAAAGATGCAGGGGCGATCATGTCCACAGTTCCTAACTGAAGAATCTGAGTGCTGTGTCTTTGAGGTAATCAGCTGGGAATACTTGGATTATTTCCTAGCTGTCTTGCCAGTGTCAAGCCAGTTCGATGGCCGTGAATCTTGATGCACATGGGGGGATAAAGCTAGGCTCAGTAGTTTATTCATTCAATTCGCTTGTCTGAACAATTGACAGATTAGGGTGAACTCCTCAAATTCCGAATCAAATTTAATATTTTTGCCCTAGAGAAACCAGTTCAGGATTTTAGGGAACTATATTTCACAGTCCTCCTAACATTTTGAACAGTTTTTTTTTTTAGAAAAGAGGTTTCCTCCTAGGCACCAGAGTTTTTTTAACAGTATCTCATACATATATCAAAAATAAATTGCACTAGTAGGAAGTAAAATATGACAACAAGAAGAAAATTTAACTATGTTCCATAGTTTTGCAAAATTTCAGCATATATAGGACATTTACTTTATGATATGACAAAACGTTGTCTATATCCAATGCAATAATAACAAATAGATGAGATGAACGAATGAGACAATATTATACTCGCAGTGACCGCTGCGCATGGTCTCTCCAAATGTCACAATGTAGCTTGTTCATCTCCGTCCCCCAAATCCAAATGGCGACGCGACGAGAAAACTAAACAAATCATCAGGATTCATGGATCCGTCTCCTATATATATGCCACCCTCCGTCTTCGCCTTGGTCTCCGTCACTGATTCCATCCGGCGACGCCCACCCTGACTCCCCTGACCGGCGCGCGGCTCACATTTTTCCCCACCGCCACCAGAGAAGAGACCAATCAAATCAGATTATCCAATTAGCAGGGAGGGGGGCAAGGCAATGGCCGTGACGGAGTTAGAGGGCCCGCCGCCGCCGGCGGCGGCTGCGGCGTTGGAGGTGCCGGCGAAGCGCGGCCTCCTGCGGTACAACTCGCCGCTGGCGCAGGTATCCCTGCTGGGGCTCATCTGCTTCTGCTGCCCGGGCATGTTCAACGCGCTGTCGGGCCTCGGCGGCGGCGGGCAGGTCGACGCCAGCACCGCCGACAACGCCAACACGGCGCTCTACGCTTGCTTCGCCGTCTTCGGCGTCCTCGGCGGCGCCGCGCACAACCTCCTCGGCCCACGCGCGACGCTGATGCTGGGCGCGCTCACCTACCCTCTCTACGCCGGCTCCTTCCTCTACTACAACCACCACCGGCACTCGCAGGCGTTCCCCGTCACGGCGGGCGCGCTGCTCGGCGCCGGCGCGGGGTTCCTCTGGGCGGCGCAGGGCGCCGTGATGACGTCGTACCCGCCGCCCAACCGCCGGGGCACCTACATCTCCCTCTTCTGGTGCCTCTTCAACCTCGGCGGCGTGCTCGGCGGCCTCCTCCCCTTCTCCTTGAACTACAACAGTGGCGACAAGCCCAAAAACGTCAGCGACAGCACGTACATCGCCTTCATGGCCTTCATGCTCGTCGGCGCCGCGCTCACTGTGCTCGTGCTGCCGCCCACCAGGATCGTCCGCGACGACGGCACCAAGGCCACCAGGGTCACCTTCTCTTCCCCCGCCACCGAGGGCGCCGAGATCCTCAAGCTCTTCGCCAACTGGAAGATGCTGCTCGTGCTCCCGGCCGCCTGGGCCAGCAACTTCTTCTACACCTACCAGTTCAACAACGTCAACGGCGGCCTCTTCACGCTCCGCACCAAGGGGCTCAACAACGTCTTCTACTGGGGCGCGCAGATGATCGGTTCCGCCGGCATCGGTTACTTCCTCGACTTCGGCTTCGCCAGCCGCCGGAAGAGAGGGCTGTTCGGGGTCGTCGCCGTCGCCGTCGTCGGAACGGCCATCTGGGGAGGCGGTCTGGCCAACCAGCTCAAGTACAGAGCTGTGCCGTTGTCCGACCCCATCGATTTCAAGGAAGGCCACCGCTACGCCGGGCCGTTCCTGCTCTACTTCAGCTACGGCCTGCTGGATGCCATGTTCCAGAGCCTCATCTACTGGATCATCGGCGCCCTCGCCAATGACTCCCAAATCCTCAGCAGGTACAGTAATTACTCTGCTCCTACTATTCAAATTACGTAGACAAGATTGCTAGCTTAGTTGAGGGGAAGTTCTCGCCAAATACGACCAAGTGAATAGGCTACCTAAAACTAGTGCTAGTATCTTCAGTTAATATTCTCCAGTGATTCAAGATCCTCATCACTTGACAATTCAGGATTGTAGGATTTTTTTTTTTGGGAACAAGGATTGTAGGAATTAAACATAGTTCGTAGAACAAGACATGTCTGTATAGCAGAGTGAAGTGATCAAATATTTAATTCCGAGAGAAGGGATCCGATAGGGCACTCCTGCCAATTCCTTATTAGTCAAATTCAGTAGATCTGTATTGGAGATTCCACCAACTACTAACCATTGGAAGCCATGCTGACCATGCTGCCATCTTAATCGTCAAAACTCGAATTAGGCTGTGGTGTCCTTTTCGTACAAAGAATCTAACTGAAGACGTGGAACATTATTGGACTCTTCATGTACTGAGCCATGAGAATTGAGAATCACAGAAGATACCCTAGGAGTTTATGAGTGGCCACCTTGCAATATTCTTTAGATGCCAAATTTCATCTTTAAGATGCTGAAACAGAGTTCATGTTAGAAAGCTTAAGTTCATCTATAAGATGCTGATGAAACAGTTCATCTTTAAGATGCCAAATTTCATCTTGCAATATCCTTTTCCCAGCTTAAGTTCATCTTAAAGATACTAGTAGGTCATCTCCGATAGTAAAGGACTTTCAAAGTTCCAACAATCTTGAGAAGATTTGGGGATAGAGATTCTTATCCAGTTTTCACGCAAAAGATTCTTGTCCATCATGCCTTTTTTTTATTTCGATAAAATTTAATTTGGGACAGCATTAGCAGTAAATTACTATCCTGCTGCCAGGCTGTGTGAAAAGGGGAAAGAAAGAAGAGACAAAAACAGACAGGTTCTTATGCTCCGTGGATTAATAAACAAACCTCTGTATGGTTGAGTGCAAAACTCTTGCAGAGGCCGGAATAAAATTCCTTTGACTAAAAAAATAAACAAACCTCTTTGTCTGAACCACTCTTCCAACTCTGATGGATGCAGGTACGTTGGGTTCTACAAGGGTGTGCAGAGTGCGGGAGCGGCGGTGGCATGGCAAGTGGACAAGCAACACACGTCCCTGATATCCCAGCTGATTGTGAACTGGGGGCTCATGACCGTCAGCTACCCATTGCTTGTGCTGCTGGTGTTCCTGGCCGTGAAGGACGAGGACTATTCGGTTTCTTCAGTGGAGGACGGCAAGGAGAAAGATAGTAAGCTGTCAGCACCGACCAGCTTCCACTAAGGAAGGATAGACCAAGATGCATGTTACTGGCTTTTCTCATCGAAGTTGTAGAAATCAAGAAACAACTGAAGTACCTATACAAAGAATATTTAGGGTGTGGCGTTTTTATGTATGTGGATTACCTCAGTATTCGTTTGGTGATGATTATTCTCTCCGTGTTAGCTTGAGCATGCTTGCATATTGCTTGTCCGTGGTGTAACATATGCCATTTTTGAGCAATGAAAGGTTTATTCCTTTATCCGTGGTGCTGGAACGATAATTGACATATGCTAGTGGATCTAAGCAGTTCCTAAAATTTATGAATGTACATCCAAAGACATGAGCACTTTATACAGCATAAAAACAACAAATAAATGCTAATTCTGACTGCATTAACTAAATCACAAAAACTACCATTATCTCTCCTAATATGCTTGGGCCAGAAATCATCATGTGTTGTTTATTACGGCCAGAAATCACATAGAGATGAAACCTGTGAACAACAAGGTAATTGGAAGAGAATTGGAAAGGGAAAGAAGAAGAACAGAGGATAGCGAGGGAGGTTGGGAGTTGTTCAGCGTTTACAAGTTTGATTGATACCCATGCCTCCAGTTTCCAAGAATTTGGCTTTAGGAAATTAGGTGGGTCCAAACAAATCAGTTTTTATCAGTTTCTTGTACAAGTTTAGGAAGCTGTTAAAACCAGCTTTTGCTAGTTTTTTGTGACCAAAGGGCAATAAATATTGTCAGATTCATACAAACTCGAGGGATCAAATACCCCACCAATTTTTGTTTAGAATCTAGATTTTAAAAACTAAGGTCCCGTTCGTGTGTCCTTAAACATGGTTTGATCCGCTTTCTTTTTTCATCTGGAACAGTGTTCTGCTCTCATAAATTTCTCCAGCATTCCTCCAAACCATCAAATTCCTCCAAGCGAACATGCCCTAGCACCGGTATTTAAAAATCCGAAACTGAGCCTGTATAGAAAAGCTAGACAGCTACGCTACGACTCTTCAGCCATTAGGGAGTGTTCGGCTGGCAGTAACTGGGCACTGTAGCAGCTGGTTTTTCTACTGTAGCAGCTGAAAAAATAGTGGGAGAAAAATACTCTTCCGACTAGAAAAAAAGAGGAGCCAGTAGTAGAAGTTCCACCTTAATCTCCCATAAACTCGCAGGATTCCTGATGATTTGTATGCCCTCTTGTCCTCTGAGGGGTTCATACTTTCTTCCGTGTGGTTCATCCGGTTACTGACGAAAACGGTACAGATATTTTTCGGCTGTATTCAAAATCGAATCCGTTTAGTTTTTGTTTGCCTGTACATAAATCCAATCCAATCCTTATGGTTTACGAGGAATTGAGATGAAATTTAGTATAAGTTCCACCTCAATCCCTCCAAAACCACGTGGATTGGGGTAGATTTGTGTGCGGCCAAACAAACACTTAGAGAGGTTTAGATCTGTCCGTATTAGAGTCCAGATATTTAACATCCGATATCGTATCCGTATTCGAATATCGTATCCGTATTCGAATACTTAAATCGCGTATGTATGATGTCAATATCCAATTGTATCCTATCTAACATGTCTGACACTATCCGTATTTGAATCTAAATCCGATCAAAAATATAAAAATAAATATAGTATAAGTCATGTCCGTCCCTATCCCATCCGTTTTCATCCCAACATCCGGCACGTCCTCTTGTTCTGAGGTCCAGTTTAGTTTGCAAAAAATTTTGCAAAATTTTTCACATTCCCCATCACATCGAATCTTTAGACGCATGTATGAAGCATTAAATATAAATAAAAAATAAAACTAATTACACAGTTTAAACGAAATTCACGAGACGCATCTTTTAAGCCTAATTAGACCATGATTGGACACTATTACTTCACTCTTGGAAATGGTGCTAACTCATTTTTTTTTTGCATCTAAACAAGCCCTGAAGCATAGGCATTGTCACTGCCTGAACCTGACAATGCAGAGCTGCTGTCAGACATCCTGACAAAACCATGAGCTATCGATATTTCATTCTTGGAAATGGTGCTAACTGGGTTTCACCGTGATGAGACTCATCTCCTCTCTCTACTTTTTTTTTTTTAATTTCGTTGCCTCATCATAATTTTTGCTAATACATGTATCGCCGCATTAAATGAGTATAAGACCTCCTAATGAGACGTGATTAAGCAGGAGCTAGCTAGAATACAAGTACATTTGAGCACTTACGGCGGCCCAGGGTCAATGGTGCCGAAGTAGGTTGCACGGCACGGGTACGGGCACGTGCGTACAATCAGAACCAGGGTGCATTTGAGCACGGAGCTCTCAGCCTCGCTCGCACTGTACTGTGCACGCCGTACGTGGCTTGCATTCGGTCGGTTCGCTGGTTAGATTCTGGAGTGATAAGTCCGATTGATACTAATATGTTATAAAAGAAAAATAATGTTAGCTAATTAATAAGCCATAACTGAAATCAAGGAGCCAACAACATCATTATTGTTGGCACGACAAACACATGACGCCGATCGCCACCGTACCGTACGTGTGTTGAGAAGGGCACAACCGGCCAGCCCGCTCTCTGCTCGCTCGCTCGTGCCTGCTGCCCTGCTCGGCTGTCGCAGCCTTGGTTGGCTTGGCCCCAAGGGGAGTAAAGCTTTTCCTTATATATCCTCCTTAATTATCAAATTGTTTTCAACATTTCTAATTTCAAATTTGAACAAGTAAATGATATTCAGAAGTTACGGGAGTTTGTTGTTTATCTTGCACATTCTGGTTAGTTCATGTGATTGTTGCTCTTCCGTTCGACCTGTGTCATTCAGATTGTTGCTTGGCCCATTATTCCAGCTCTTGCGTTTTCTTGTTTCCATGCCACGGATCCGTATAAAACGGTATGCCTGATCGTGAAAAAATGCCACAGATCCGTGTATAGCATTTTTTTTAAACTTTTGAAAAAAAAAATTCTTGCAAAAAGTAATCGTCTCGATCAGAAATTTGCAGAAGTATATACTACGGCTGATTGAAGTGGTGGGATTTCCCTTACCGCCAATTAATTGGCAGGGTTATATTGATTATTTATGCACCAGGATGCCTTCACATCAAAATGTTGTGAGCTACACAGTTATAGGTTTCATTATGTAGACAAATCAAGCTATGCTGTGCTACCTAATCTGGATGAATCAAAATAATCTACAACTTTTTTCATCATATGGCAACTTTATTTTAATCTACAACTTTTTTCATATGACAATTTTTTTTGCGAATGCGAACAATACGGACATAGACACTTACTGTAACATCCAGTGTCTAAAATCTGGTTATATGGTTTCAGCTCCTCACGTGGAACGAGCGACGTACTTGTAGCACCTCTTTTACACTTTCATCCTTGCTTCATGTAAAAGGGTTAAGATTATAAGCTAGTCCTCATCCTCCTAATTAAACTTTCAAGGTGGTATTAAACCCACCAACTACAATCACACACATGTGTTACATGAGCCAACCACACAACTACTAGAGGCTTCTAACATGCTAAGGTGGTACACTCATATACGTACGTACACTCACCCAATGAATGCACACACACACTCTACCCTTATATGTACATATGAGAGACTGAGACTGTTCCTTTACTTAGGGCAACTTTTTCGAGGTATATAATGCACTACAAAGTTGTATATTGTTGACTCTCTTTACGTAGGACAACTCCTAAAAATATAATTTCTTGTTGTATATGGCATCGCATGGAGATGGACTTCATATGAAAATGGTAGTTCTCAATGAACAACTTTGTGGCTTGCAACATTTTCTTTTGAAGACATCTTTTTATCAAAATGATTAATATAAAATTTATATCAACAAATATGGATATTAACAATGTATGATTTTTTTTGGCATCAAGAAAAAGTTTCAAACAAAAAATCATGAATTATAGAGTTGTACTCTATCGAGGTCTACAATTTTTCATATAAATTTCATATCTGTATATCTATATTGATGTAAAAGTTATGAATCTTTTAAAGAAGGGCTGCGCAACAAAAGGAAATTCCACCAACAATTGGCTGTAAAGGAAATTTCGGCAATCGAATTGGTGGGATTTAAATCCTGCCACTATTTGATCGGTGATAGTAGTATACTTTTGTAAATTTTCATTTCTTTATTTATTGGAACAATTATTTTCAAAACGAATTTAATAAAATACAAAAAAGTATAAAAAATCTAGCATATACCTTTTTTTAGCAGAAAATCTAGCATATACCTGGGCTTCATCTGCTAAATGGGCACACTGGGCCCATGTACAATCTAGCCCAAACTGGGGATATCAAAGTATTTGTGGCCCAGGTACGATCCAGCCCAAACGGGCCTGATCTGCTGAAACGGCACATTGGATTCTTTTTTGCAATTGACTTTTTTGTTGGGATCTTTTTTACAAAGTTAGTCTTTTTTTATGACAAACAGTGTGTATACCAGATAAAAATATGTAATCATTTTTTTTCTTCTAAAAGGATATGTGAGTTTGCAACATCAACATGGTCCCTATTCAAGCCTCATATCCTATTTTTGAAGGCTAGTGGGCAAAACAACTTGCTACGGCCTCTACTTTTCAAATTTATCGGTTATTCTTTGTCTGTACCATCCGCATTGAGCGTTGCACGTGCTCTGTTGCTGCCACCTCCCTCCTTGACGGCTCCACTCACACGCCCCCACTCTCTCAGGCGACTCCATCCCAACATGAGTGAGTAGATAGATGCATTGATATGTTTCATGTTTGTGGGCATAATATTGTGATGAACTATATATATATATATATAGTGAACAATGTTGTTTCAATCTGAATTTATATTTAAAATTTGACTTATCTTGTTTGAATTCATGTAATTGAATAATGGTCATTTGTATAAACTTTTAACATTGTCGTTTGAATATATATTGGATCAAATCAGTAGAATATATAGAGGACGAGAGAAAACAGAAAGTAGGATCATTGCCGTCAAAGATAAAAAAGCCTCTTAATTTGAGGATCATTGCTGGCG